ATATTACTATATATTACTGTATTATCATTATTATCATTAATAATAATACGTATGTAATTATTATTATGTATTATTTAAGTTGATTCCAATAAGCCCAAAGTTCAACAAGTGCAATATAACGTTTGATTTTACTTGTCACATGTTATTATACAGATTGGAGTAAATGAACGACAAAATGTGGTCGATCGAAGACGTTCACCAAACTAAACAATAAATTTCTATCACTTAATGGCAACTTTACTGTATATCTGTATTTGATTGCGATTAATTTTTTTCAAAATTATTTTAAAATCTAAAACTTTATATCATAGTAAAGCTTATAAATGAAGCAAAAAAATTGCAATTATTTTCAATATAAATTGGTCACAATAACAAATTCAATCAATTGTAATTGCATAATAATTGGGATGCAATTAATTTTCCGGTACTCCTACTATAACGGTCCTCAAGCCAGTGACTTTTGACAAGGAGTGTTCGTACGTAAATTTTATAACCGATAATAATTATTGATTTACTACATGGGAATTTAAAATTCCGAAGATCGGGTCATAGTACGGTAAAATTTTTCAAAGAGGAGGAAAGTAGATTTCACCTTAAAACAGTATGTAGAACAAATATCAACATCACTGGATATTCAAAATAAATTGTTTATAAATGAAGTTAATCTATCCTATTTAAGTTGAAGTGAGTGTGAAAACTATATTAACCCTGGATTGAACCACACGTGTCTTAATATACAAAATGATGATTATGACGATTAAAAATAGATTAGCAAGAACAAATTCTTTTGAAGGATTATTAGATCATTTCCTTATCGCTTGAAAAGCCCGAAAATGAACTTTAAAATCCCATAAAACGTTTCAAGTTCAGGTCAAATAATTGCATGTGAATGAACGAATTAATGAATGGTAAGTGATAAACCAGGACATTAATTCTAATTCTTGATAGATTAAAAACATTACCAAGGATAATTTTTAACTATGTGTAGATATTGAGTGTCAATATCATTATCAACTTGTATATCATATGATCGATATTTATTTGACCTAAATTAGATTTTCATTTGTGCATGGTTGGCGTGGCTTTATTTAGATCAGAGCACGCGAGATGGTCAGTGAACCTTACATAAAATATAAATAGATTTAAGATATAAATTAAGTGATTATTATGGTTTTTTAAAGTGATAAACTATTTAATCTACGTACGTACGTATTGGTATAAAACGCGGGTATACATAATATCATTATACGGGATATCAAACAAGGCACATGTAGATAATTTAATCATCAGATTGCACAATGCTCGAAGCAAAGTTTCACATGGAAATTAACAAACTATGTTGAATTGACAGACGAATAGAGCGACTCTGAACGACTTTGAATGAAATCGGGTTAATTAAATGACTCGTTTAGACTAGAAGTGCAGGCGAATCATCCCAATGATTGCCGTAATTTTGCCGTAACTATCTCTGTAACTATAAAATAATTATAATGAGTTACGGCAAACATGCCGTAACTTATTATAATTATTTTATAATACTGTAATTAATAATGATTTTAATATGTTAATAATTATGTTAATAATTATTAATTGAATAACCTAAATAATACATAATAATAATTACATACGTATTATTATTAATGATAATAATGATAATACAGTAATATATAGTAATATACAGTAATACGTATACGATATACGTAACAGCAATTAATAGTAATAATAGTAATAATAGTAATAATGATTAATAATTCATCATAAGTCACGTCACGAAACATCACTAATCATCACTAATCACATCAAACAGGGTTTTCACACACAATGAAGATTTTAGGCGGGATTTCTGGTAGACAATCCGGGTTAAAAAAGTAGAATCATTTACGCTTAATATAATCATAAATGTATTAGTTTACATTAAGAAATGATAACATAATACTTTATTTACATATGAAAAAAAAGAATGTTTCGATAATGTATATTGTTCCTTACTTAAAAGAACGAGTTTACATATCAGATATACGAAATTCTCTTAAACGAAGGTGAAACAAACTTAACTCTGCTTATGTAAAAGTCCGAAGGGTTTCAATTTATGATAAAATTTAAGAAGGTCAAAGAGGGTCAAGAGGGTCAAAGCGGTACATAGATAAGCATAAGTGATATATATTAATGATCACGAGAGGATCATTTGATGGTTTTATTGTACGTAATTTTATTGGTGTAAAATGATTGAACCTTGTACGCGAGATTTACCGGCAATCTCTTTAGAAAATGGAAATACTCGCCGAAGAAAAAATAAACCTCTCCTTTTTTGTGTGGAGAAGTCCCTGTCATTCCATTTAAACGTCAGTGCGTAAAAATTTTTTTTTTTTACTTTATCATCCATATACTTTCATGTATATCTTCATATATTTTCATGTATCTTCATATACTTTCATACAATTTTTATCTTATAGTTTCATTTTCTTTCTAAATCTTTTTATACATTCTCATATATTTTCATATATTTTCATGTATATTATATATATTTTCATGTATATTTTCATATATATATGTATATATATATATATTTATATATATATATATATATATTTATATATTTATATATATATATTTATATATTAATATATATATATTGTATGTATATTTTATCATATATATTTATCATCGTCTATCTATGTAATTTTTATTTAATTATCGGTATTATAATATTAAGACGACGAAAATGCTTGTGTGTACACAATAAATCGGATCATTAATTATTTAATTAATAATAATATGATGAAAAAATTTTACATTTTACATTTTACATCTGCTTTGCTTTGCTTAAGTGACCGGATAAAAATATCATATAAGCAAAAAAATTAATCTTATATAAGATTATTACATTATCATTTTATTTTAAAAATTACAGGGAAATATTTTTAAAACAAAAAAAGAATGAATAAGATGTAGCGGAAATGTAAATCTTTTAACTATTTTCATGTGTGTGTGACATGAAATTAGCTTGGGGGTCAATTGTAATAAATCGAATACACGAATATTCATATATTTTTCATATATATATATATATTATGTATATATGTATATATATGTATTCTAAAAATAAAGTAATCCCTTACTGCTGTTTTCCGAATATTCTCAATTGTAATTGTAATTTATATGCTTTTTATATTATGAATTTATATTTAATGAATTTATATTATTTATTATTATTATTATTATTAGGGTTTTTTTCTGATATCAACATTCCTGATTTAAGAGTGATTCTTTTTTTTTACCTTTCTTTTCTATCACATACACACACGTACTAAACGAATACTTTAACAAACAAAATTTCTTTAGTTAAAAATTGAATCGACATTTTATAATTTATGTTGTGTTCCTGAACTATTGCTGAACTATTGACAGTTTTATATAAAATAAAGGACTAAACGGTTTGTTTTCCCTCACTAGCACCTGAAAGACCTGAAAGGTTGAAGAAAAAAAATTATCTTTGACCCTTTCGAATCTTTTTCCTAAAAACAAATAAAAATAAAAAAAATCTTATTAAACTGGTGTGCTTCTTTATTCTAGATTTTTTTTTTCTCTTGATAAAAAACCTGTGAAGGAAAGAAAAAAAAAATCTTAGCGACGATATACTTTTCCTTTTTTCTAAATATATATAGATAATATTTTTTCGCACTGTCGAGAGATTCTCGACATTCCGCACGATATTTGATTTACCATAAACGAAAATTACATCACAAATTTCCATTCTTAAATTAACCTGCTTGGATCCTCGATTCTTAAACAATAGTGATTACATACAACACTTGTTTACCCCGGGGGTTAACAACTATTTTTTTTTTCTCACAAACTTTCTTCCCGTCAATATTTAATCATATTTGATAATCCGGGGTCTTTTTTTCAAGTTAATTGATAAAAAAGGGTTCGTTATTCTTTCAGTTTGTTTATACTATCCTCACGAAAATCATCAGCCTGTTTAAGATTCCGATTCCCCCACTGTCGATCTCCTTTTTTCTTCGAAATCTTCGCTCGAAAAGGTTCGTATTCATATGATTTTTACACCATGTTGTTTACATCATATTGGTTATTCTAAAAAAATTTATGTTGCACGAACCTCCTTTGTGAATTGTGTATAAATAGTGGGTGTTTGTCCTCGAACTTTTTCCATTCAAAAAAAAAAAAAAAAAAAATTCAAAAATCAATTAAACGATAGATTATTCTTCGTTTACTTTACACCATCATGGAACACGGCAACAACGATTATTATTACCCTGTAGAGGTTTCTACTTATAATCAAAGTCTACCGATTCATCATCATCACCATCATCATCCTCACCAACAACAGCAGAGATACGCTCAACGAGAACAATTACGGGAAAATTTTTTTGAACAGGAATCACGACAATGTTATCATTCTCGGATGCCATCGTCGCATTTTGGCCTTCATTTAAACAACTTAAACAACTTAAACAATTTAAATAACAACAATTTAGATAATTACAACAACAATAATAATAATAGTAATAATAATTATTCTCAACCGCAACGATATTCGTACTTCCCTCAAGTACAAGATTATCACCCTCAACAAAGGTCGACATTCGACGATAGCATGTTGTCCGAGAATCCACATCCTATGTCACTTTTTCGATCACCGTCACGATCCCAAAATCATAATTCATCTCCTAATTCACAACCACAACAAATTCAATCTTTACAAGATTCACAAAAGAAAAGTTCTTTCAAACGACCAATTATCACAGGTCCTAATACTCCTCCATTAACACCACCCCGTCATCATCGTCCTTATAAGAGACGTAGTTCTTCAACCTTGGTTGTTAAGAAATCAGATGGTGCCATGGTTAGTTTGCTGAACGATGAAGAAGAGTCGACCTTATCTCCAACTTCTTTGTTTTCTGACGACGAATCGGTGTTTTCTTCTGTCTCTAGTTGTGGATGTTCTGATGATGGTTTGACCTCTCATATACACTCTCCACAAAGACAACGCACATCTTCAAATCCCTCTCTCACAAATACTACCACAGTAAATAAACGTAAATATATTTGTCAACATCCTGATTGTGGTAAAAGCTTTACTACAAGGTTGGTCTCCATTATAATATATTATATTATATACTATATATATATGTTGTACCCCAAATGATAATCCTGTCCCGATTGCCAATTGGGACAGCCCAAATTAAAATTGCCCAAATCTAACCTTAACGTTTGGGCTAATTAATTTATAATTTTGGCCAGATTGTCATCTGGGAAAATTGTCATTTGGGGCACGACATATATATATATATATACTATATATTCATATATTGTATTTTATATTATTATCATTAATCAATATTTTATCTTTTCTTTTCATAGCGGTCACCTTGCTCGTCACAATAGAATACACACGGGTGAAAAAAATTTCCCTTGTTTAATGCCAGGTTGCACATCAAAATTCTCCCGTCAAGATAATATGATGCAACATTACAGGACACATTTATCTTCAAAAAGTCGACGTGGTTCAAAGTCTGGTATTCACACTCCTCCACCTCAGCCACAAACATCTTGTTCCAATATTGAACCTCAATCAAAACGTGTTAGATGTATGTCTACACCAACTCCCACACCTATAACATCATCATCATCATCAGCTCTTGTTTATCATTCTTCAATGAACAACTTACCATCAGTTAGATCAATGTTTCAAGAACCTGTTCATTTACCTCCAATCCATTCCATGATGCCATCTGTTATCTCTTTACCTCAATCTTCTTCACATCATCATATGAAAAGTGGTAGGATAGATAACATAAACAATTCCATTGGGATGACAAATTACGTTAGCATAATGGGTTAAATCATTGTACAAAAAAACGAACAAAGACTCTAAAGTCATCATCTCCAATTTATTGTAATATATATATGTCTTTTTTGATCTGTAATTAGTTTTTTTAGCCGGCAATAATTAAGTTTAATCCCTTTTATTTTTTTTTCTCCTGAACATCATTTTTCTTTAAACAATTCGACCCATTTTTTTTTTAGCAAACTCTATTCGGTAAAACTCTTTATTCGATATTAATCGATATGTCAAAAGAGTTATATGCATTACACTTAGGAAAAACCACTCGACAATTCTTTTAAAACGAACAATCAAAAAAAAAAAAAAAAAAATGCATTAATATTTGCGTTTGATTGTATGAATCTTAATATGAATCCAAATTTTTTTCTTTATATTAATCAAAAATTTTTTCATAGACAAAATCATAAATGATAAATGATTTAAAAAAATTTTTTTTTTCAAAAAATACGATAAAAACTTTCAAATATAGTAATTGTTAAAATCATAATTTCCCAAAATGCGATCTCTCTAATTACTTGCAAAAAGGTAGATAATTTAGCTGTTAATAGACAAAAGTTTAAATATTCTTTTCGACTTGCCTCGATAAAAACGATAAAAGCGATAAAAGATACAAATATATATATATATGAATTTCTGTTAATACTTTTTTTTTTTAAACACTTTTTAAATATTTTATAATCTTTTTTTTTTTTTTTAAGATAAATTTTTTTACAAGATTCTTTTTGTTTCAGTTATAGTAATTTAATAATTTTTTTTTAAAAAAAAAATTTCTCTATAGTAATTCTGTAATTAATTTAATCATAAACATTAGAGAATTGCGATTGAATCGTATAAATAAATAAAGTTAATATAAAGTGGATATACAGTATATATCGATATAAAGAAATTTACAGTAATATCAGTAATATAAAATATCATAACGATAATACCATATCGATAATACCGCATCGACAGTATTGTAACGATAAACCATATCGATAACATCGTATCGATATAGAAAGTTAATAGAAGTCAAATATAAGATAGTGAATTAACGTTTGTTCCACACCTGCAGTATGCAAGAGTTGATCACCTGACATTTATCGTACAATAGCAACTATGTAGCATATTTTCGGGGAAACAAACTTTCCAGAAAAAGTACGACGATAAAAATTTTTTACTAAATGACATAATATGTTAAGTAATCTCATTTTGTTTTTCTAAACATGGTAATTAGTCCGAGAACTATATTAAATTTTTATATTCATTCTCCACAAACATAATCTACAGTGTCGTATTGATTAACCGAGCAAATAAAGATCGAAACTTTTAATTATGCAATGTTAATTATTTCCGTGATCGGTTAGACAACATATGAAATAGGCTGTCGTCGTTAGATTCATTAAAGAAATTGATTTTACTTATTAAATCATACCGTAATTATTAACCCGTTTAGATATATGACAACCTCGTGGTTCTTACTATATACTAAAATTTCAATTTACTTTACTTACTTTATTTATCTCATTTAACTTCAATTTACCATTTAAGATTACACACTTTCTAAAAATTGTCTTTAATCCCACAAATTAGGCAAATCCGGCATTTCTTCTGATCCAATATATCAAATATTAGGAATGTACCTACGTAGTACCTACCTACCTACGTATCTATCCACACACTTGCGTACGCACGTACGCACGTACAGTACGTTAGATTAAATAGTTTATCACTTTAAAAAACCATAATAATCACTTAATTTATATCTTAAATCTATTTATATTTTATGT